TGTGTGTGTGTGTGTGTGTGTGTGTGTGTGTGTGTGTGTGTGTGTGTTTCTTTAAGCCAAGGGCTGCAAACTCAGATGCTGAGTGGGGCCAGGCATGTAGCATAAATGAGTAAAGAGAAGCAGGCAGCCGGCACTATGAAGTGGGAACAGCTGGGGAAAACTCAAGCTCGCTGCCTGGCCAAAAGGCAGGCTTCCACTCAGCTGGAGCTGGTGTTGCTTATGTGGGAATGTGAGCAGTGCTGCCAGACCTTCAGATCTTTCATGGAAAGCCAGAATTGAGAATCTTCTATGAAATCTGATTTTTAAGACACTAAATAAGCTACCAAATAAAACACATCTGAGCAGACTCGGCCTAAAGACCAAGTCTTTTTTGTGGCCTCAGTGTTAAGCCTTCCAAGTTGCAAAGCTGGTTCCACAGAAAATGGCACTCTTTAGAGTAAATTTTGGAGATAAGGGAATGAGCCAAAGCAATATGGAAGAACACACAAGCAGCAAAATATGCCGAACTTACTGTTCAAATTCTGAACAGATTACTTAGTCCATCTGGAACTCTCTTGTGTTCTGAACTATTAAATGCAATATACATTTTTTAATCTTAAGTCTAATTGAATAATATGGGGAGAGTGAAAGCAGGTAATGCACATGTCATAAATTGTCACTTACGGATGTAGATGATGGATCCATAACTTAATAAGAAATAACTTTATTATCTGAAGATGATGGAAAGATGGTTGGGACCAAATTTTTAAAAACCTTGAATGGCATATCACAACTCTGGTGAAAATTTTACACCCCAGATCTTTCATCAGGAAAGCAACTTTATCAGAGTTGTGATGTTATGAAGCAGAACTTGATGAAGGGAGAAACTGTGGGCACCACTGTCAGGCAGAAGATTGTTGGCATAGCGCTATTAATGCAGTCTGAACGCAGAGTGGCAGTAGGCGGAAAATTTGCTCTGGCTTTACTCACATGATATGGGTAAAGAAATGTGGGAGCTTTAACCATATCTCTTTGCTACCATTGCTAAGTGAAAGAGCACCATTTCCAACTGGAGCAAATTTCAACAAGGAGGTCCATTTCTGGATTACTTGCTGAGCTGGGCCATTGTTATTTCTAATG